TGAAATTAACTTTATATACTTTAGCCCTAAACAAATTATATTAAATATGTAACATATACAATATATTGTATATAATAGTATATAATACATGGTATATATGGTAGTATATGATATGTAGTATATAATATACATAGTATCTTATAGAATACTATATTATTATTTTTTTTAAGTTTTCACAGTTCATTACTACCAACTAGCTATCACAGGCATGTCACTTAACTTCTTTGTACCGTAGTTTCATCTTTAAAACAGAGATTAGAATAGATAATTGCTAAGCTTCCTTCCAGTTTTCATATGGTAGGATTCTGTGGTTCTGGGGGAATATCTCAGTGATATATTGAATTTTCTATATATCAAGAAAACTGATATGAACTAAAATAGCACAGCTAAACTAATCCTTTCCTATAAGAAAAAACACAAAGACCATGTTAAAGCTCAACTTCCCAAACTTTACTAGACCCATTCTCTCTTTAGCCAGACCAATGAATAGCCCATCACATAACACCAAATATCTTAATTACTAAGTTATTTTAAATTACATTGCAAGCCCATTAAAATATATTAAGTCTATGCCACAGTTTTCCTGCATAGAATACTATATTAAAATAGCCTATAAATACATATAATATGTAGTATATTACATTATATATCGAATCAGCTTTATATACATTATGTATCAATTAAAATAGCTTTAAGATTCTAAAACTTAGAAGGCTCATTTTTATCTCCTTAAGAGGAAGTGAATTTATTTTTACATAGGATTGTAGGGCTGTATTGTTTAGCAGAGAAAGCACTGGACTAGAGATTGGGGGTTGCTGCTTATCCTGATGCTACCAGAAAGTGGATGTTACTCAGGACTTTTTTCCTCACCTATAAATTGAGAGGATTGTGGTCAATCTTAAAGGGTTTTTTCCTAAGATATATCTCAGCTTCACAGATGAGTTTCAGCAGCAATGTCAGTGGCTGTCTGTTGTTAGAAAAGAAGCAACTGGCCCTGACATCTTCAAATATAAAGTCCCTTGACGTTGTCCTTTCTAACTTCCATTTCTCGTCCAAGAGTCGTCTTGGGATTTTCCTCCAAAGACCCCAGCTTTTGAGCTGTAGTCTTTCCATTAACTGTCTCCCCTGCATTCTGGTTTGGGTCCTGAGATGTAAGTAACTGCTCAGGTACAAACTGTTTTGTTCACTCATGTATCACAAGGGCCTTAATTAGTGCTTGGCCGAGTAAACATTTAGTGAATGATTCAGTAATATACAGGAGCTCACAGTTTTGTGGAAAGGCAAATACTTGTTCTGTCATGGAGTGCCATGTAGGGAGATTTGTGCAGGATATGGTGGGGCACAAATAAGGGTAGCCTTGGGTAGGCGGACTTGGAATGGAGTGGGGAACTGATTTGGTCAGAGAAGGCTTTAGGATGTTTGAACTGGATTTGAAAGGTGATTCCTTCCCATGGGGCCAGGGGAGAAGGCAGTGTAGTCATGTGTAAAGGCAAAGAGACGGCATCCAGTAAGTAGCCGGTATGGGTAGAGAACAAGGTATGAAGTATTAAAGCAAAGTCTATGGAAATTGAGGTTGGAGAGTTAGGTTGTGACCAAATGACGAGGAAGTCTTGAGTGCTGTGCAGAAGAATTTGGACTTCTTTGTCAACGGAAGGTATGAAGGATTTTGAAGCAGGGAGTTACCATAATCAGATTTGCATTTTAGGAGGATTATTGAATTAGGGCAGGGGAAATGGGATGGGAGAAGAAATGTGTTCATTAAATACTTAGGGGTTGAGGAATTCATAGCAAAGAGAAAGAGGGAGAACGAAGAGTCAGGGTCAAGTCCTATGTTTTAATTTAGAAAGCTGGGTGGAGGTGGTGTCATTAATGAGATAAGGAAAGCAAGAAGAAGAGATTTTGGCAAACATGAATTCAATTTAGGACATGTTGGGTTTGAGGTGCTTGTGGTCTGTCCAAGAGAAGGTGTCCTTTAGGCAGTTCAGTGTATAGATCTAGCTTTTGGAACACAGGTCTTGGGCTGGAGATAAAGGATTTAGAATGCATTAATTTATCAACTGCAGTTAAAAGTCAAGGGAGTGGGTGGGTGGGAGGGATGGGGCGGCTGGGTGATAGACATTGGGGAGGGTATGTGCTATGGTGAGCGCTGTGAAGTGTGCAAGACTGTTGAATCACAGATTGTACCTCTGAAACAAATAATACATTATATGTTAAAAATATATAAAAAAGAAGAAGATAGCAGGAGGGGGGGAAATCGGAGGGGGAGATGAACCATGAGAGACGATGGACTCTGAAAAACGAACTGAGGGTTCTAGAGGGGAGGGGCTTGGGAGGATGGGTTAGCCTGGTGATGGGTATTAAAGAGGGCACATTCTGCATGGAGCACTGGGTGTTATACACAAAGAATGAATCATGGAACACTACATCAAAAACTAATGATGTAATGTATGGTGATTAACATGACATAATAAAGAAAAAAGAGAAAAGTCAAGGGAGTGGATGAGATGACCAACGAGAGCACTTAGAGTGAGAAGAGAATAAAGGCAAAGAAGCGAATGTGGGGCCCTCTAGCATTTAAGGGTAGGCAGGGAAGGGGAAGATGTGGCCAGAGTCCTAGGTCAGTCAGAGTAGTGGGAGGTCAGAAGAGCCAATGGAGGGGTTTCCAGAAGAGGACAGTGACCAAAGGTGTTAGATGCTAAAGGGAAGCCATGTAACTTAGGTGTTTTATAAATATAAATATAAAAGGTTATTTGGTCATTGGTGACTTTTACAAGGATACCGCTGTATTGGGTTATAAGCTAGATGGTGGTGAGTCAAGGAAGTGGAAGTGGGAAGGTCTTTGTAGATAGAGGAGAGGGATCATCCAGTTACATGGCCCAGAAACCCGGATGTCCTGATGACTTATGCTTCACTTCCACATCTAGTCAGACACTGAGTCTGGCAGTAAAGCAGGGTACCTGAATGGGACCTTGAGACTCAGACTTCCTGGGTTTGAATCCTGGCTCTGTTACTGATGAAATGTAAAATCCAGAGCAGGTTATTTAATCAGGCCGTGCTTCAGCTTCTCACCTATACAGTGGAGATAATAAAAGTATCTATTTCCTATAATTGTTAAGGATTAAATGAGTAAAGTGTTCTGTTTAGTGTAATGCCTGGCACATAATAAGCAATCAGTGAATGTTAGCTATTTTGAATCCTAAATATCTTTTGAATGTATTCCCTTTGGATTACCATAATAGTTTTTTTTTTAAATATGTATAATTTACATAAATTCACCTGTTTCTGTGTACAACACTTTTTAATAAATTTACTGAATTGTGCAACCATCAGCACAATCCAGTTTTAAAACATTTCCATCAAACCAATAAGATCTGTCATGTCCATTTATAGTTAATCCCCATTCCTACTCTAGCCTTAGGCATCTACCTCTCTACTTTCTATCTATGCAGAGTTGCCTTTTCTGGGCATTTCATATAAATGGAATTATACAATATGTAGCCTTTTGTGTCTGGCTTTCTTCCCTTAATTGTTTAGCTCTGCCCATATTGTAGCATGTATCAGAACTTCACTTCTTTTTATTGCTGAATTGTATTCCATTGTCTGGATACATAATGTTTTGTTTATCCATTCACCAGTAGATGGACATTTGCTTGGTTTCACTCCTGCTATATTATGAATAATGCCCCGTAAACATTTCTGCACCAATCTTTGTGTGGACATATGTTTAATAGCTTCTTAATTGATCCTTTAGCTTCCTTCAGGGGTCCTCCTGATTCTGTTCTTGTCCCCCTCCAGTCTGTTCTCTGCATTGTAGCTAGAGTGATCTTTCTAAAATGTAAGTCTGATCTTGTCACTACCCTGCTTAAAATCCTTCAGAAGTGCCCAGTTGCCCTCAGAATCAGTTCAAATCTTCGGAATCTAAAATCTTATTTCACTGTTTCCCTCTCCCCCTCTCCAGCTTCCCGCTTCAGTCATTCTTCCATTCATTCATATTGTTTCAGTCATTTATTTAGCCATTCATCCAATTAACCAGTCTTATTGAGGCTCTGGGGACATAATAGGACAGCCAAATGCTAGCTTTCATGGAGCTTCCTTTTGAGTGTAAAAGGCAGACACACAAGAATGCCTCACATAGTGGTGAGTGCAATAAAGAAAATAAAAAGAATGGTATGATAGTAACTCAGGGGCTGAGGACTCTCAGAGCCTCCGCCTCATTGCCATCTGCCTACTTGTTATCTGTGTTTAGTGTCTGATGGTGGCAAGCCTTGTTTCTCATCTATACCGCCGTGTGTTTCCCTCTTCTTGGAGTACTGTTATGCTACGTCTTCTCTTCCTAACACCTGTTTATCTTTTCCAGCCCCAGCCCCAAACCCTGGCTAGATGTCCTGTCCATTATGCTTTCTGTATATTTCCATTCCAGGCCAGCTGACTTAGGTGGTGCCCTTCCCATTACATTTCGCTGCCTGATGATTGTTTCTTCTACTCCACTTTAAGCAACTCGATGATTATTGAATACCCTAAGTCTAGCCTAGTTCCTGGCAGAGATTTGGTGCATAATAAAATCTGTTGAAAGAGCAATTGTTTGTGATTAGCTTGAACAGGAGGGAGGGAAGGATACCATTTCCTTTGGGACGGGAGGGAAGGAAGGAGCTAAGACCTGTTGTTTGCAAAATTAATTTGTAGGATTAGGGGAGGAAAGTCGAAGGAGTTTTCTTGGCTTACATTTTCTCATAGATTACAATTTAGCGCATTGTACAAAACGAGGAGAGAAGTTATTTATAATGAGCAGTTAGCAGTGCATTAGAAGAAATAAAGAAGTAGTGCTGTGGGGTGCATCTTGAAATCTTAAAACTGTTCTTCCTTCTAGTTTTATAGCAATTAGGTTTCTTTAGGCCATTTATTATACATGTTGATGTAGATGACTACATTACTTGGATGCTATCGTACTATTTTCTTTCTTGTTTTTCATAATTGATTTTATTTTGATGTTGCCTTTTCAGCTTTCGGAAAATGTGATTGATCGTATGAAGGAAACCTCCCCATCTGGTTCGAAATCTCAGCGGCATTCTGGTGTGTATGGTGCCTCAGGTTTTCAAAATTTTAATTTCAGAATTTTTAGTAGGAAAACTGTAAGTGATAAAAGTTTACTTGATAGTCAAGTTCTTTTGCACTTCTTTCTGTCTGTTGTGTTTTGGGTGTTTGGCTTTTTATATGGAATATTAGAAATTAGTACCACAGTTTCTTTTAAAACATTTTGCACAAAAAAGAGAATGAATTGACTATCAAGCAGTCTTGGGAGAATTTTTTTTCTGATCCAGCTTCTGAACCCTCTATTAAGCTTTGGCAGGTTACTTCATATCTTTTGTGTAAAATGGACTACTTGTAGGAATATTAGAGATTAAGGAGCAAATATTTATAATAAAATATTGAACTTAGAAAATAATTGATTTACTATTTGCAAATTGTGAACATCACCAATGCTTTTATTTTCTAATAGATTTCTTCTAAGTTTATAAACAGTTTATTTCTTCTCAGTCTTAATTATTGATGAAAATAAGATGTTAAATGACATTTACAGAGAATTATTAAGCCTCATTTTATTTGTGGATCCCATGGGATAAGAGGCTATCTCTCTTTTCTTTGCTCTCTCCTACCCCATCCATTTATTCATCCAACAAATATTTATTGAGCACCTGCTATGTGTCTGGTACTGTTCTTGTTGCTGCCCAGTTTGATGGATGGACATGCTGTTTATTGGAGAAATGGTAATGAGAAAATAATCGAGATGATTTATCTTGGACTAAGTAGTTTCTGTACTTATTAGAAAGGGTATTGTGTGGTAAATCTGCCTCCAGACTGAAATACATTGAGAAAGATGGGATGCTGCCCAAATGCCATTCACTTGGGGACAGTTGTGACCTTACTAATTATTACTTGTAACCATGAATTGAGCTTCTGATATGTTTAAAGCAGAGGACTAACCCTGTGAGGAAGGGACTTCTTACTCAAATAGTTGAGTAAGAAGTAATGAATAACAAGTAGTTCTTGCTCTTATGAAACTCCTTTTTCAGTGGGAGCATTAAGAGGGGTTCACCGTTCATTAACGTTGACCACTTCCTCCTTGCTGGAAATCCTTTCTTTGGCTTCTGGACCACACTCTTGGTTTTCCTCCCACCTTACTGGCATCTTCAGCCTAGTTGTCTTTGCTCAATTCCACTAAGTAATCTCATCCTGTTGTATGGCTTTTGAATGGTAATGTAGATGCCTGTGACTCCTACAATTGTATTGCTAGCCTTGACCTCTCTCTGAAACAAAACTTAGGCAGCTGCCTACTTGAAATCTCCACTTTCAGATCTTCAACTTAACATCTCCAAAAACAAGCCTTTCTATTCTTCCCCAGACTTGCTTTTCTCTGTCTTTCCCAGTAAATGGCACAGGTGGTCAAGCCCCATACCTGGGCCCCATCCTTTCCTTACTCCCTACATTAGGCCATAAGCCAGTTCTGTCCTGTCTGTCTCCACAACACATCTGAGTATGACCCTTTCACATGTGTCTTTGTGGCTGCAGCCCTGATCCAGACAACCAGTGGCTCTCACCTTGCCTTCTTAGGAGCCTTGTAATTGGGTCCCTATTTCCTCTCTCATCCCCTTACACTTTGCCACGCACACAGAGGCCTTAGCAATCCTGGAGAAAAAAATTAATCAGTCCATGTCACATCCCAGTGGTGGTTCTCCATGGTACATGGAATATAATTTGAACAGCTTTCCTTGGCCTCTGAGGAGGCACACCATGACTGGACCCTTTTTGTTTTTTATCTCATCATTTATCATCTCCTACGACCCTTCTTTTACTTATGCACAGTGGCTGCCATCTCCATCAGAAGATAAGCTCCAGGGACCTTGTTCCTTGTCTGTTTGTTCACAGCAGAATTCCCAGCTTCTAGGATAGTTCTTAGTGCTTAGTGTTGAGTTACTTTAGGGCAGATGCCATTTTATATATACACACACACACACACATATATATTTTTTAAAGATTTTATTTATTTTTAGGTTAGAGAGAGAGAGCATGAGCAGAGGAAGTGACAGAGGGAGAGGGAGAAGCAGACTCCC